CGCCGCTCCGCTCCCCCATGGCAGACCTTTCCCTCCGCGCCCCGGCCAAGCTGCATGGTGTGGGTGCCTCTGAGCGCCACGAGGACTGATCGCCGGGCCCTCCTGCGCGCACCCAACAACCGCTGCACCAACATGTCTGGGGAGTGGCTGATGGACTGGAGCTGGTCCCTGGACGGACTCCGGGATTTTATCGCCACGGGCATCCAGTCTTTCCGGGATTGCGACACCACTGCCCTCACCGCCGTCGCCTGCCTCCTGGTCCTCTTTGTTTGGTACTGCTACCACGTGGGGCGGGAGCAGCCCCGCGCCTACGTCACTGTGAACGCGCTCATGCAGGGCGCCGACGCCAACGGCTTGCAGAACGGGTACGTGTACTGCCACTCGCCCGAGTGCGTGCGCTGCACACACAACGACGGCCTTAACCAGAAGCTCTACCACAACCTGCAGGAGTACGCCAAGCGCTACTCCTGGTCCGGCATGGGCAGGATCCACAAGGGCATCCGCGAGCAGGGCCGCTACCTGAACAGCCGGCCCTCCATCCAGAAGCCAGAAGTCTTCTTCTTACCGGACTTACCAACCATGCCCTATTTCTCCCGGGACGCTCAAAAACATGATGTGGAGCTACTGGAGCGCAACTTCCAGACTATCCTGTGCGAGTTTGAGACCCTGTACAAGGCTTTCTCAAACTGCAGCCTCCCGCAAGGATGGAAAATGAACAGCACGCCCAGCGGGGAGTGGTTTACCTTTTACCTGGTGAACCAGGGCATGTGCGTGCCCAGGAACTGCAGGAAATGCCCACGGACGTACCGTTTGCTCGGGAGCCTTCGCACCTGCATTGGCAACAATGTCTTTGGGAACGCTTGCATCTCCATGCTGAGCCCTGGCACCGTCATTGCGGAGCACTACGGACCCACCAACATCCGTATCCGCTGCCACCTAGGTAAGCGCCCGGCAGCTGAGAGCTGCAGGGTTGTTCCTTGCTGGGCACCCTTGTGGCAGGCGGTTCAGAGCTCTGCTCCGAACTCCCAAGGCGGTGGGAGCCCGGAGCATGGCCTATTGCACTTAGAGCTCCCCAACTTCAGCCATTAATTACCTCTCTGGGGCCAGCTCAGGTGTCTGCTCCTGCTTTGGCTCAAGGGAGTTTTGGGCAGATCACCCTCTGGAGCCAGCAGCCTCCCTAGGCGAGGCAGGGGCTCCAGCCACCCCTGCACGGTCAGGGTCGCTGGCTCAGCAAGCGGCACGTTGCACCCCCTCCTGGCGCAGACCTGGAGGCGAGCGCCGCCGCAGGTGTGAGACCGGGCTGGTTTTGCTGCAGGGGTCTCTGAGTGACCCCCGCTCTGCAGCTTCCCCCATCTCACCGTGCCAGGACGGGAGTCAGCCTGGGATGCTGCTGCAGCAGCAGAGCTGCCTCCCAGCGCGTGCCCATCCAGCAGCTCCCCCTTACCTGGCCTTTGAGGCGCTCTGTTAGTGACACAGTTATTGCCACAGCGCACCAGACTGCCACGGGAAGCTGTGAGCAAAGAGCAGCGCTGCCTCTCAGGCAGCGAGATGCTGCTTTTGCGCGAGTAACACGGTAAAGAGAGGGGGAGCCGGATCACTCCCGGGATATCCCCTCCAGCGGACCTGGTGCTCACCGCGCCGCTCCTTCGCCCCGCGGGAGCGCCCGGGATGGAAGTGCCCACGCGGCACAGATGGCCGGGATTCTGCAGCGCTGGAAGTAACGCTGCTCGCGCTGGGGGAGGAACTGCACGGGCCCTGCTGGCAAACACCGAACAATTGTTCAGCCAACTCCTCTTGGGTAAACACACTCAGACTGTGACTTGCCATTTAATTATTAGTGAGAATCAGGCTTTCGAACTAATCTAAGGAGCTCTCTCGTCCTGGAGAGCTGTTGGTGATCTGGGCACTACCTTTCCTAGTGCCAGGAGGGCAGCCCACCTCCAGGGACTCCTGAGCTCCCCCAGGGCCGCTGTTAGGCCAGCAGGGTCCGTGCTGAGCGATGCTGGGGAGGTTCACTCACGTGGCAAAGGGCAGAGAACCGTTCCTGGGAACACAGAGCGACTGAGGCAGGGTCCAGACAAAGACCTCCTCCCCCAGCAGCAGAGCTGAGAGGATGGTCCCCCACCAGGAACACGTGCACCCCAGGGACACTTGTGGTACAGGTCATCCCCTTGTGCCTTCCCGTTCTCCCAAGTCTCCCTCCATCTGCTCTGTGGCCGCTGGCAGTCCTGCCAAGACACAGTACTTTGGTGTGCCCTGGGCAAAGGGCTGCTCATGCACTCAGCGACATCCCCACCCTGGCGCTGGTGTCTCGGCTCTCCCACGTCCAGAACCCAGCTAACCCTCTTGGGCTAGCTCCCTCTGACAAGCCTGAACTGACTTTGCTCTGGGCGCCTGCCGTCGGCACAGCCGACTCCCTCTCTAAGCTTTACCCAAGCCAGCCCTAGCACAACTGCCCCGGGTGCTTTGCTGAGCACACGGGCCGGGCTCGGCCAGCAGCCCTGCCCCTCCGCGGGACGGGAACGCGTCCCCGGGGAGCGCTGCTCTGGAAGGATACGCTGCTCACTGTGAGCCGCCTCCTCCCAAGGCTTGCCGGGCTGCTCAGCTCGCTCCTTGCAGCTGGCGTGCCTCCAGCTGAGGCCATTGCGTAGGGAAATAGGCTTGGGTTTTGTAGACTTTGAAGCATATATTAGAAAGCCAGACCAGCCTTTAACTCTCCCAGCTCTCCTGGGCAGCTGGGAGCCCCTGCTGTGCTGGCTGGGTTTTGGCATCACTTTGAAATCCATGCCTGCTCCTGTTTCCAGCATTGTCACGTGAGCTCTGACCTCTTTCTCAGCCATAGCAGCATCCACAGGGCAGGCGGGCTCTGCGCAGCTCCAGTGGTCCTCAGCTCTGCAGTGGGTTACGTTCCTGATGCACAGGGTGGTGGGATCGGCCCTTGCCACACTGGCCTGACTTGTGCTAATGTTTTAGGAAAAGGCCCATTTTATTTCTGGGGTTGTCCTTCTTCATGGGGCCTTCACAGAGCTTCTCCTCTTGTGAGGCATCTGCAGTCCTCATGAATTTCTGGCCTTGCAGCTGCACAGTGGGGCACGGCCGTTGCAGCGTCTCAGGTGGGTGACCAAGTCACAAGGCAGGTGATGTGAATGGTGCAAGGTCAAACGGGGAGTTTGTGGCAGAGCCAGGAATTGAGCCCATTTCTCAAGTCCCGGTGCAGCATTTTCCTGCTAATCTAGCCTTGCAGTGGACAGTATAATTGCAGCAATGCTGGAGAAAGATAAGAGCGCAGGCTGTCTCTGCCTCTGGCCCTGAAGCCAGAAAAATGCATCAGGAAGCTGGCTTACTACACACGCCCCATGCTTCATGGGCTCCAGGGACTTGGCAGCCACTCCGGGTACAAACAAGCACGCCAGCGATGCTCAGCGTGTTGGGGTACAGCCAGCTACGGCACAGGGCTGCCCTGCAGCAGCTGGGAAGCAGCAGGGCAGGAGGGGAGCTGTGCAGGGGCAGGCAGGGGCTGAGGTGCATCAGCTTGGCTGGGAATGGCCCAGGCTTTGGAGCACAGCTTACAAATACAGTGCCAGCTTTGTATTTTTTGAAGCCTGGACTTTGCCATGAACTGAGTTTGGCTCAGCATCTGCTGTTCCTGCTCTCTAGAAGAAAACAGCCCCTTTTGTCTCCGCTTTGCCCTTCGGCAGCGGCGTGGAGCTTGTGTGGAGCTTGCCTTCATGTTTCAGGACAAGGCACTGCAAGACAGGTCTCCTGACAAAAGCTTGAGCCGGGTGAGCAGGCTGAGCAGCTGCCTCCTGCACCGCACTGCCATAGGGCCAGGTTTCAGCTGCTGAACTCAGCAGCTAGGCATGGCTTGGCACAGGCTCGGGTGCCAGAGGTGCAGGAGGGCTGGGGAAGGGGCTGCTCGCTGAAGGGTTGGCCACGGGCTCCCAGCCCACAAGCCCCCGTCAGCCCTGGGAGCACAGCAGTGTCTGAACCGCCTCTCTCCTCTCCCTCTTTGTACCTGAAGGTCTGAAGACTCCCAGCAACTGCGAGCTTGTGGTGGGGGGCGAGCCTCAGTGCTGGGCTGAGGGCCGGTGCCTGCTCTTTGATGACTCCTTCCTGCACACTGCGTTTCATGAAGGTAAGTAACAAAGCGCATGGCAGCTCCTGGCTCTCAGCTGGCAGGTCATCTCACATGATGCCCGCTCCTGCGGGGCCTGGGAGGAGCAGGCAAGCAACACAAGTTGTGCACAGCCTCTTTTCCTGCCAAGATGTCTGCAGGGCCTAGAGACATTTGGATCCCTTGCAGGTTAGATCGCTGATGCCCTTGGCTCGTTCCTGTGTCCACAGTATGGGGAAGGCAGTATCCCCGTTCCTGGCACTGCAAGGACCCCACACATCACTAGTGCTCCCTGCTGCTTCAGATGAGCAGCTCTTGCCCAGTCCCCTTTGCCCAGCTGTCCTCCTGGGGTCCTCTCCTCAGCCTGCTCTATGGCTCATTTCTTAAGTCTGCATTTGATTTTAGCCTTGCCAGTCCAGCATGGGGGCCTCCTGGCCCTCTCCATGCCATGACAGGAAGCACAAAAAGGCATCCTTCTTCCTCCAGAGCTTTGCAAGGCTGCTCAGTTACTACTGCTGACAGCCACAGCATCCTCACGCCCTTGCACACAGCAGCACTACCAGCCGCAGCCTGGCGCTGCTGCATCGCAGCGCACCAGCGTGTGAGAAGAGGCTCTTTTCTCCAATGGAGGGAGAAAAGCTTCACCAGCTCCCAGAATCCAGACCCAGCAAAGGCAGGCTCTGCATCACCTATCACGCCCCGAGTACTCACCGCTGCTTAGGACAGACAGTCCCTTATCCACCTCATCCGCCTGCAGTTTTGGTCCCCCCGACACCTCTCCCACCCTCTGGGTTGGATCGCAGCTGGTTTGGCTTTTTCCACTAGGCTCCCCCCAGTTTCATCAAGCTTAGACCATCTCAAACCTTTTGGTGGGTGGCTGCAACCTCAGGTAGACTGAATTTATGCTTCCCTGGGTGAACACAGCACTGCAGGTGGGAAGAAGCAAGAACGCTGGCCTGTTTTGTTGTCTCTCTCCCTTGCAGCTAGAGGCTGTACTGTTTCAGCTCTCCTGGATTAACCGGCATTAGTTGCTGATGGCATAAAAGCATCAAGCAGAGCTGTTTTACGCAGGGGAACGCGTGAAGAGAGTGGGAGAACAAAAGCTGTTGCTCCCACATAGACTCTGCTCCTGGATTTGGGAAACGCAGCTTATTTTGGAGCCGCGGGGATAGGGAAGGCTAGAATAGCACAGTGGAGTCAGTGCATTGCTCTGAGACAGAGCTGGAATGAAAGCTATCTTTAAACAGCAAGCCCAGCATCATCATGCCTGCTGCCCTGAGGTGGGAAACCTTCCTGACTTACTGCAAAAAGCAGCACTGGGGGGGCCTGTTTACTGGGGTCGCACTGCGCAGACGTGCCAGGATTTGAGCTTCCAAAGAAGTGGCCCTCATTGTCTGGCATGCATGAACAGAGCAGCTCTATGTCACACGTGACTGCCTCGAGCTGCTTCAGCTTGGTGCTGTCACTCCGCGCACGTACCTGCCCTGGGGGCGTGCAGCATCCTCACCGAATGCCTCTGCTCCCCGTTGCTCCTGGCTTCCTCAGGTGTGGTGCAGACATTGTCCCCCACGCAGGCTCAGGTTAAGCATGGGTCTCTGATGCAAGAAGGGCAGGAGAGAAACAGAAATCTCAACGAGGCGTTCATGCAAGCTCACGTCTCACCAAGCTTGTGTGTCCCATCCAGGTCCCCCGGAGGAGGGCCCTCGTGTGGTCTTCATGGTGGATCTGTGGCACCCCAACGTTGCAGCTGCTGAGCGCCAAGCCCTAGATTTTATCTTTGCTCCGGGACGATGAGCGCACTGCCTTGATGTCGTGGGTTTGAGGGCAGTCAAACGGCCCGGCAGGCCTTGCTGACTGAGCTCCCGCTGCAGGTCCAGCTCCACACTTGGAAGCCTGCCTCACTGGAAAGCTTTCTCACAGCACATACAGTGTTGGGTTCTTCCCTCCTTTGGGTTCTTGTAAATGGAAACTTCCAACTTGTATTAACTCCCCATCTCTTTCTTTCCATCATTTGCTTCAGGGATTCTTTTCCAACATGACAGTGCATTATTTTCACTCTGTGGTTAGATGCAGTACTACTCTAGTACGTGTTATGTTGCTACTGTGTTTTGCAGTGTTCAGAATTAGACTAACAAAACCAAGGGTGTATGTTTGAATGTAATAATGTAAAATTTCTCGTGATCATCAAAAGAACACCACACACACACACACACAAAAACAGCAAACTTGCCAAACAGCGAAGAGCTGCACTCAGCCTGCCTTTGTCTGGGTTTGCAGTCACCTTGCAGACAGCCAGACGGGGCTGCTAAGGGCTGCAGCAGGCTCGCTGCCACTCTCTGCATAAAGCACGTTCAAGGCAGGGGCTGTTCAGGCTGGGGGCAAACTGGGGCAAGAGTAGGGCAGTGCTCTGCTAGCAGAGAGCTCTTGCACACAGGGCCAGAAGCTCCTGCTTTCTCTCTCTAGCATGTGAGTAGTGCCACAGGGCTGCTGAGAAGGCCCCAGCACGTGTCAGCCCCTGGCCCTTTATGCCTTGATAAATCATTTTGTCATACTGGCTGTAGAAAACACAAAAACGCTGTTTCCCATGCTTTCCATGCAGCTGGAAGTGCTGGCAGCCAGAGCAAGGCAGCAAGCCCAGGAGGGCACATGACGTACACCCTGTCAAGGGGATGGCTGCACAACAAGCCCTGCTCTGTAGTCTGACCAAAGGCTTTATCAGTTTGCCTAAATCCCCTTGCTTTATCTGCAACCTTGGATTTTTCACAACTCAAGGCTGGGAAGCTCCTGCAGAGGAAGGGAAGCTTGTTTGGAAATGCAGAGTGCAGCTTTCGTCTTTCTGTAGACAAAGGACATTAAAGGGAGGAGGTCAGACTTCCCTCTGCTTCGTGATCTCCTCCTTTTCTTACAGCAAGAGTGAGCATACAGAGAGGGGCAGCTCCAAAATACCTAACAACGAAGGGAGGGTTTTCAAAGGTAGGGGGGCGTTTAATTCTGCAGCACAAGAGATACGGCCCTCCACCTACCTCTAGGAGTCCTGCCCACCTAGCAGCCACCAAGCTTTTCTCTAAGTCTGTCCCAGCATTCAAGGTTTGTCTGGGGGGTTTTGGGTACAGAGCTACCATCTCGTTTGTAACATGCTACACTTAAAGCACAGCATGTCATGGATGCTCACCACCGTACTTGCTCCTCTGGTTGGAAAGCAGCTGCGATTGGCTAGATAACAGCAAGAGGCAGCTGCCTTGGCAAGGGTCTTGGGATCTTTCACTTCCCAGCGTTGTGCCAGGGAGGTAACCCAGCCCGGTTCCAGTAAGGTTTCTATACAGATTTTTCAGTGATCAGATTGCAAGATAAGGCAGAGATTTCAAATACATCTGAAATATTTTTTACACCTGTCTTGTTAAAGAATATCTGAAATGCATGGTTTCTACACACATTGACTACTTGGAACAGAATCTGAGGAAGCAGGCTGGCTTGGTAACTGTCTTACAGTTTGGTAACATTTCATACAGTGGATAAGCAAAGATTATCAATAAACAGTTGTGCTGAAAATGAGCTCTGCCTGCATGTGTAACTATTCCAGGATAAAGCAAAACACTGAGGATTTGCATCCATCTTACCTAAGCTGGCCCCAACCTGCTGAGGCCTCTGCACAACTTCCTAGTTCACTAGTAAGGAGAAAAGCGTAGCAAAGAGAAAACTCGGGGGGTGGAGGAAGGAGCACACCTGGGCTGAGTTTGCAAGTGATACAGTAAGCAAGGGTATTGCTTTAAAATATCTGTCCCCATGGCGCTTCTATCCATTTCTGCCCAAGTTCATTTCTGTCCTGACCAGTTTTAGCCTCTCTGTCCAGAATCTCACCAGCAGTCCATGCTGTTGAGGCACCGGCAATATCTGCTTTGAATCTCCTTGTGTTGATCACATCCCTTTGGTCCATGCACTTCACTGCAAAGCCAATCAGCTTGCCACAAGCTGTAGATTGCAGCAACATTGCCTGCACCCAACACAGCAGAGACCATCACTGATAACGCTGACACGCTACAGTCAGCAAAAGAACAGGGCTGTAGACCTGCCTGCCACACTAATTCAGCACGTTATCCAGGCTCAGCAGAAGGGCCACCAGCTTGCAGGGGAGTCTTCCAAAAACAAACAAACAAAAAAGTTTTGGAAAATGCTTCCAAGTCCCTGCACTGACACATCAAGAGCAGCAGGCACTTTAGTTGGGGGAGCTCTAGAACGGAGGATGCTATGCTGCCAAACAACGTTTGTTGTCGAACTGCCCAAAAACCAGCGCCTGACACCACCCAAAGCACAAGGCCTGTTTGGAAATGTAAGAAATCGCTCAGCGTGAGGCCCCTGGCCCTCATTAGAAGCCTTCTCCTGGCAATCTTACATGGTCAGTCAGGACATAGCCAGTGCAGCAGCTGCTCTTCATCTTATTTTATATGAACGTGACCAATTTTTACATATCCTTTCTACCAAGTACAGTCATTAAGTCAAGAGCCTGGAGTACTTTGCTGTACTACTGCAAAACAACTTTCCTCTTAACACTCAAAGGACTGAAATTGGTCTTGGTGGCCAGATGTAGTTCAAGAAGCAAAATAAAATGAAGCCATCCCAGCAGTTCCACTCTTGACAGACGGCATAGCAGATTGTAGCAGAAGATTTCTGAAGACAGCAGGCAAAAGTATCTATTTTATGCTTTGCTGCTGTGCCAAAACTCCCTCCTGTCCCTCTCAGGCTTTTCTTTCAACTTTATAGTTTTTCCTCATAGAGCACATAACCACTTCCCAAAACACCCAGCTAGGAGACAGTAGGATCTCCCTCAGAAAAGCAGAGCGGTCTGGAGCTGCCTGGCAGCTCTGCTTGCTGTCATGCTGTTCCTTCTGGCAGATGGGAGACTTGCCTCCTGAGCACTGCAGAGAGTCTCTGCATCAGGACTGCTGAGCCTGGGTGATTAACACCTGCCTGGTGTCAGGAGGCAGAGCAGCACCTAATTGATCACAGGTGGGAGCCTCTTGGCCCAGCATGTCAGAGGAACCCTGAGCATCGCAAAAGGACTAGAGCTTCTCGCCTTCTCCCATCCCTTCCCTCGCCTACATGATGCTTCTCTACTGTGCGCTCCAGAACTGAAACAGTGTGTAGTTTGTTCATAACTCAGGGAAACAGTGCCTTAACTCTGTGTCCTCTTTTGCATCAGTCATCACTGAGCCAGCAAGTTTCCTGGATGGTTGCAGCTCTGGCTTTTCAATGAAGTATCACATCTATGCTGCTATTAGCCAACAGGCAACTGAAGGCATTTCCCCACAGAGCAGTTCCACTCCAATTGTCCCCATTATGAGGACAGCATCAACAGGGAGCAGAGCAGCACCTGGAGCTATACAGCTCTACTGCCTGCTGAAACATCTTCTCAGCTGACATAGCTGGAAGCCAAAAGGTAACCAATAACCAGCCTCCCCATGAGTAAGCAGCTGAATCTTCCCCTGGAGTCCACTGAATTCCCCAGCTAAGACCTGCAGAGGGAATCACCAGCTGTCAGAGTGAAACAAGAAGCTGTGAGGATGGTAACTTGACCCTGTCCAACTCCTGGGGGTGCCCTGCTAACACTGATGACAGAGGTCTGCTCACAAATTCATAGCAAAGCCAGTAACGCGTCTGCCTTTAGCTCTCTTCACCACACAACCCTTTGCGCTCTCAGGAGATCCTGACAAACAGCTACTTTGCCAGCATGGGCTAAGCAACAGGCACTGCCTGTTCAACCCCACCGGTACAGGCACTCTCTCTCAGAGAGGAGCTAACAAGCAGTACGTGGGTCACCCAACCCCAAACGCCCACAAGTGGGATCACAAACAAGAACACCAAACAGTAGGTGGGACTCTGGCCTTGGACAAATGAGTCTTGGAGACTTTATTTTCAGTTACAGTGATGTGTGAGTATGTACCAGCAACAGTCTTCGAAACATACAGCACTGTCAGATGGCAAGTGTCCAACATTCAGGTCTAAGCAGTCCTCAGTGCCAATCCCCACCCCAAGCTGCTGAAAGGGCATGTACTGTCTGTTTACACAGAAAGACAACAGTCGCAAAGGAGCTATAAAGTCTCTTTGGTCCCATTAGCTTAAGGAGCTCCCACTTGCCTTTTCTGTCAACAGAGCGTAGACAAATCGAGCAGTAAGAGAGCAAGGAGGTGAAACAAGGTACTCCAACAACTGTACTTCCAGAGGAGGGAGGGGAGGAAGCAGAAGGCCTAGGAGCCAGCAGGAGTGTAGTGCATTCAGTCTCATAGGCAACACCATCAAGGCCCTGTGGAAGGCCAGCAGGTTACAGCACCTTTCTGCATTTGGGGGAATCTGGAAGGCAACAGCATACTGCACAACCTCTGAATAGGCTCAGAGGGACAAGGATCTCCCAGATTCAGCTACAGTATAAAAATCTATTGATAGCTATTATAGGAGCATTATTAGTTCTGCAGCACTTGTTCTATTCCAGTTAGTCTGAGAACATGCAGGCTCTGTTATCTGAAGGTAAGGAATTCTATTGTGGCAGGGAAACATTTCTGTAGATTAAGAGGTATAAATAAAGCCCAAGTCTGACCAGGGCAAGCGTAGGCACAGAACTCCAGGCAGATGTCTGACTGACATCTCTGAAAGCAAGTACTGCACAGTGACCTGGCAGCTGGTGTAGCTTAGAGCAAGAAAACGGTTTTACTTCAGGTCGAGGCAGGAGGCTCTGCCTATGGGGGCAGAGCAGTATGAACAGTCCTACAGTGAACGTAAACCAAGCATCCCAACTCAGCTATTTTCTATCCTCAGTTTTTGGTAAGCGTTCATATCAATACTCTGCACTAGCACAAAACGTGCTGCAGGCACAGGGCAATAAGAGCGCCTGTTCACCAAGGCAAGGCAGAATGGAGACCCCACAGACAGCACAGAGCCTAAAGCCTCCAACAGAATAAATTCCTTTGAGATTTTGCTTACTGGAGATGAACTAACTTTTAGCATAGGCTGAGACAGGTTGCCTCAGCGCCTCACTTCAAAGCAGGTTCACGCCATGCTTCAGCAGCTTTTGCTTGGCCTTGCTCGGTAAGCCAAATGCACTGTCATGAGGGTTGGGAACACCCGAGTTGCGGAGCGGAGTGCCCAGCTGCTGGAAGTAGGTCTCCTGGACAGGATTCCGGCAGGCGTATACAGCAGTGGAGGCATTCCTAGCAGGGCAGGAAAGAAAGCAACAGTCAGGAGCAAGATCTTGCTTTGTATAAGATCCCCTTCTACTCACAGGACGTTTTGATCACCAGTACAGGGCTGGGCATTGGGATCTTTGTGGCACTGGTGTTCCAACTAGCTAGAGGGACTTTTAGGACTGTTTCAGGAGAACAAAGAGATACAGAGCTAACATGGGCAATAAAACTGTGCAATATATTGTCAGAGGGAGGAAATAAAGCAAGGGACCCTGCATTTCTCCTTGACAGAGGAAAGCAGCAACTGATATGTTTGCTGACAACCCCCTGTGACAACTCTTCATAAAATAAAGCAGTTTTCGTCATCTTGTTACTCAGATTCCCACATGAAGCTGCTTTTTCGGGGGTAACACGGAATATGCCACCTTACCCAGCACTGAATTTAAAGAGCCAGTCAAGCTTATGCTAATCAAGGAAGTCTCCAGCATTACAGTGTATGATTCACATTCCCTTGGCAAGCAGTGTCAGAGAAGTGAAAGAGATTAATTCTCAGAATCACCTTTATCTCATCACACAGTGGGCAAACAAGCACGGCCAGGCAAGCAGAATCTCCGAGCACACACAACAGAACCATCCTACTTGAGATCAGTTACAGAAACAGGGTGGGTGCTGTAGCACAAGATCAACTTTAGCTGCTGCCGTGTGGAAAGGCTCCGACTGTGATAAGACCATCTTGCTTGGCGCATTACAATTGAGTTTGCCACGCACATTACAGTGTGTTTCCAACCCAACAAGCCGTGCAAGAAAACAAAATCTAGGTTGCCAATTCTGGGCGCCTTTGGCTCCCAGCCGAGACACAAATTTATTAGGAACAGCTATATTTAAAACTGCATCTTAGAACCTTATGGTGCCAGGAACTGGCAACATTCTAACATTATATCTTAATCCAAACCCTTGGCACAACTCAGCTGTGCCTTCAACTCACTTGTGTGGGTGCCGTTCTAGCTTTGCAACACCCATATCAACCTACAGGCGGAATATTAAGCAGCCTACATCTAAAGAGCAAACTTCAGGGAAAAAGGTGACATGACTAGCCTTTGGCAAGAGACAGCGATATCATTATAGCACATGCCAAACCTCAGCAGGACTTAGAAAAGTGATTCCCCCATGTTGCCTATTCTGTGTGCTATACAACGTTCTTGTGCCTGAAAGAGGGAAGAAGTTAAAAACAGATCTTACCTAATTATCATTTCTGAAACAGCTGGAAAATGACTGAAGTCAGAGTGGATCAGCGTAGCAGCTCTCAGGAAGTGCCGATCCAGAGGGCCAGGTGTATGAGGCAGGTTAGCTGCAGAATGGGAATAAAGGGGACGTGTTAAAAGCCTACTGTAAAGCAATCTGTCCCCATTTATTGATGACGAAAGGGTTCTGGACTGCAAACATTCAGGAACTGTAGGAGAACAGAGACCGGGCGATACCCTAAGTCCCAGTGTGATGTCAATGAAATTGGTCAACAGCTCAGGTTTTGCTCAGCCATGCACAAATAAAAAGCCTAGTGTACTTTTCCCCATGTGTACACAGATCAGAGGGGTGACGAGGAAGGCCTAAGGCATGGGTTACCTAGAATCACTGGGGTTTCTCTCTCTTTCCCAGAAAACGGGAAACGTTAGCATGGACCGGAGCAACACGCACATGGGGCTTTCTGCATGTTTATGGTCTACCCATCAATCTAAGACAGTACTCTCCAAATTGCTGGCTACCATCTGCTCCCAGTTCCTGCTTCCTGTAGCCAGGAATGACTGACAAACACTCTGTTCCACTGAGGGACAAAAGGCATTACCACCAGGGATGAATGAAGTTGGGGGAGAAGGGAAGCCGGGGCAAAGTGGATTTTAAGTCCTGTCCTCCTTGGATGTAGCAGTTCGCAGAACCCCAAGCAACATGTTTCCCAGTGAAGTGCCCGTGGCAGCTGCCCAGCCTCCATCTCCCAACAGCCTCTGGCTCTGACCCAAACTACAACTGTGATCAACAAGCCTCGAGCAGATTACAAACTCGCAGAGGATAAATCTTTCTCAATAGGGCCTTACATCCACACCACTTCGTAAGGATAAGCTATACTAACTTAGCAAGCAACGTTTCAGAGAAACCGTGTGAAACACGAGAAAAGGTTACAATAAACCCTGTTCTCATATCGAATTCCTCTCCTGAAAAGACCACTCTTCTGGAAGACGAAGGCTTACCTGTGAGTACGTTCTGAATGCAGTCATAGTGAGTGAAACTGTAGGTTGCCTTGGCGGAAGAAGAGGAGCTTTTGGGCAAAGTCTCCCTCAGATGAACCTCAAGGCCATTTAAAGAAGCCAGACTGCTATGGTACTGCAGACAGGGCAAAAAAAAAAAAAAAAAGGCAAGTGTTAGAGCGGATACCCGTGCACTATTTAGCAAATACTTCCAAGAAGTTTTTGGAGAGAGCTCTGGTGACTGCCCACAGGCCTAGGCCTTTTCACACTCTGCTGCTGCTGCCCAGGTTCTCTGCTGCTGGGTAACTTGGGCAAAGAGGAAAGCACAAAAGTCAGTATGAAGGGGATTCAGAAAAGGATGATACAACCTGAAAATAAGCCATTAAACCACCTGATGCCATTAATTACAGGAAAATACAGGACTCCATTAATTCACTATCAAATATTACTCTCTAGGGCTCATTTTCACAGCCCGCCGTCCATGATTTTCAGTGGTAGCATGGAATATTCCTTTGCTTTCTGACTTAGTGGAAACCAGTTGCTATTATACCAGAATGACAGTATAACATAGGATGCAGTTTTATAGACTTGGGCTGGATTTAACTGCCTGCAGTGTTTCATGCAGCACCCTCTCAATACATGAGTAGATCTCCTTGTAGCTTCCAGCGCCTAAGCAAGAAGAATGGGCTTTCAGCCTCCCCTCTGAATTTCTGGCTAGCTCTAGTCTGCAGCCCAAGTACTGGGGCATCATCAGAGGAAAACAACAAGTGGAATAGCCTTACCTGTACACTAATGACAGGCCCAGCAGGGACCAGATGAAGGCCTGAACAATGTATTCACACAACAGTGCAATAACGTAAAAGCCGAACTACTTTACTGACTGGACTTTTAGCCATACAGCCATCCTGGCCTTGTTAAGGCCTACTGCACCTCTGAATTAGAGCCTCTAAAACTGCGCACAGACTATTCTGCTGACGCTAAAGAACATACTGCTTCACACAGCTTTTAGCTGCTAGGATTGCTGCCCTGAGCCAGAATAGGAAAACATATCCCTTTGTTGCTAAAGAGGAATGTGCAGAGGGGATGGACCGCCTGGCCAAAGCAGAGATGAGAACTCTAGCTTGCAAGCTGCAACCTGCCTCCTGCCAAGTGCTAGGAAGATTAATTCTGTAATCCCCAAGCCTGTCCATGTTCTTTCCTCAGCCACAGAGAGGATCAAGCCTCCATTCAACACACTGACATTGCCTACCCTACCCTTGACCCTGCTGGTCACAGAACAGATTTTCTTTTCTGTGCAATGTAATGAAGGGATAAGACCTGAAGACACGCACAAACTCAGTCTGAAAGCACTTCTGCTCTGTAGTGAAAGTCTGTATTAGAAACTGCTTTCCCAGTGGAATGATCTGTACTTCCTGCTGTTCTTAGCTGCACAAGTAGCATATTTTACCCTTCTTTGGTGTCATTCAGGGGCCTCAAAGCATTCGACAAACATTAATTATAACTGAGCTTTGACATCCCTGAGAGCAGAGGGTCATTTTTAATCTACAGATAAACAAAAGAGCAGACAAGTTGAGGTTATGCCTCAAATCCACCGTGACGCTAGCAGCAGTACCTGTACTAGCTCTGCCTCCTAGAATGCAACACTTCTCCTCCTAGGACGGCAGAATACACAGCACATTTCTGCTAGGAAAGAACTAATATCTGTACCTAGAGGAAGAACAGGATCAAAAGAACGCAGTCATGGTCAAAATTAAAGCTGTGCAAAAGTAAGATTTTGCTAGGATCAGATCAAAAGCAAAACTATGTGTGATGGAAGAGAGCACATTTGGAAAAACTTAAATCTCAATGAAACAGGGTTTTGTGAAAACTGGGTCAATATATGGAGGAAAACGGATTGTATTTTTGCTCCACCAGAAGAAGTACAGTGTACCAGTGTTATGTAGTGGATCTCAAGGCTTGACAATCTGAATGAGAAAACAAGCCAGGAGGGGCCTACCTTGCCTAGGTGGTTTTGCCTAGGTTTTTGATGGGAGGAGGACGCGCAATGTGTGCCTGTAACTAGCAAAGAGCTAAATCAAAATTAAAATGGGCATTCCACAAGCTAGCTATACCTTCAGATGTTCTGTCCCAACGGCAAATCAGATACAACACAGGAGGCAAAGCACACTGGTTTCCAGACACAAGGTTACTGATAGGCAGGGGAGGGGCCTGGCATCTCCAGCAGGCTTTGCACCCCTGCAGGTTGCTGGGAAATACAGCCTGCCTCAGAGCATAGTAGAGCTGCAGTACTAGCCTACCAGACTGGAGTCACCCAACCCAAAAATCCCAGAAAAGTTGAGGGTATATGTAAAATAAAAGTGACCTTTAGGTCTCAAGAATGTCAATTCCCACATGCATGCATGCATCTCCCCCTCTTCCTCCACGCACCAGAGAAGATGTTCAAGAGTGGGAGCCATCGCGTGCCAGCCTATTTAAAACTGGCAGAAAAGGAGACAGAACCATCTCTGGCACAAAAGGCTAATGCTGCACTTTCTGGCCTCTGCTGATTTTGCAGCAGTCCTCACATGCTGCACTGAGGTGGCATCCCCCTGTTTACAGGGGGTCAGAGGCATAGCCCTGAGTCCTGTGCAGCTCAGAAGAAAAAGGAGTAACCTTGAGGCTTTACTAATGCTGTGAGGCAGCATTAGTCTGAGCTTTCCTCTACCTTCCAGTCTGACAGTTAAAGAAATGAGGTTGTTTCTATGGCAACTGGCATATCAAACAGGCCTCTGCAGCTTTGACTCAGCTCCCTGGTTGAGGGAGAGGCAGAGGCCAGGCACCAGCTCCGCAGGCTAATACTTCACAGGGAAATGCCGGGAGCCGGTATGTCCTTCCCCCACACTTGTAAACGGTTCATTAACCACATCTCACCGTTTGGCAGGGAAGACTGCATACAGAAACAAAACCAGCAGTAGGAGTCATTTTGGGTTGTCCTGGTACATCACCTTTATGAAGTACCCAAACGGCACCCTTTCTTCCTAACACAGGTTCCCCTGGAGAGAGTACCACCAAGGAGCAGCAGGCTAAGGATTCAGACAGCCAGACATTCATTTAGAAAGGAAACACTTCTGTGACTTGCTGCCAGACACGTCTCACTGATGCTTCCAGAGTGAGAAGCTGTGACATACAAAGTGGAGGTTAAACACAGAACAAACCTTGCTTTCTGAATGCTACTATAAAACTGAAAGGGTTTCCCTAC